GAGCAGAAAGCCTCATGTTTCTTCTGCGGAACAGCTGGTAGTTTCGAACTGCTGACCCTGAGGTTCGCAGCCCGATTCGCAACCACTAGATAGATAGATAGATAGATAGATAGATAGATAGATAGATAGATAGAGACAGAGAGAAGAGAACAGAGTTTTTTTTTATCAAGGAAATGGCTTACAATTGCACAGTCCCAGTGCAGGAGAGAGAGTCTTTTCCTTGTGTTCATTATATTAGGAGCAGAACACACCCCCAAGGGAACATCCCTTTAATTGATTGACTACTCATAGCTATTCATCATAGATTTAACTATGCCTGTATTGATTTCATCATCATGGGGATAAACACATCCCAACTGGTAAACCACTGGAGATCCCTGACCTCGTCAACTTGACACAGAACCCTACTATTACACTGAACTTGATTTGAGAAGCTTTTCATCTGGGGGTCTCCTAGGCATTCTGGGAGGATGGCGAACCTAAGTGGCTCAGTTGGCACCATGAATCCAAAGTTCAGGATGTCCTGGTGGCTGTCAAAGATCTTGCATCTTTTGAATCTCACATGACGAGAAAAGTTCAAATGATCATGTGTTATAGTAAAAACAGCTTATTGAGGGTTATGCCATTCACTAATTGTGGGGACAGTGGGCAGAGAGGACTCTATCAAATGCTTTGAAGCATGCAGGGAAAGGCATGTTTTTATAGTAAAGACGGAGAAGGGGGCAGTGCATGATGGTAACAAGGTAGGCACATTATCAGTAACTCTGTTCCTAGAACATCTTGGGTAAACTCTGTCCTTGTGTCACATTCCTGACCCTCATCCTTATTTACTAAGATTGGCTAGGGGCAATTAGCTAGTCTAGCTAATAAACAAGGTGATTGATAGGTGGCCTGGGTCTTCTGGTCTCACCCAGACAGAGACCCACAACTAAATGCATGTAAATGGGAAAAGTCAAGTTTTCATTTTCAAGAATGCAGAAAGAGGAGCTTGTAACAAATGATGTTTTGCTTCAGGCATACGTCAGTCATTTTATTATACCAAATGCCTCAGTTTTAAGGTTTGCTAGCACATCTTCCTATATCATTGCTTCCCTTTCAGTTTGCCATGAGACAAGCATTAGAACACGTTACTGTTGGTTTATAAATAGTACAGATGTTTTTGTTGGGTTTCTATTTGCAAGTTAAATTGTAGTACAAAATATGTTGATATTTGATTTATGATTAAGTCAATTCTTAAAACTTGCTCAAACTGCTTTTTCTATGTTGTTGTTGTCAATTCCAGCCCTTAGCGACCCTGTATAGGGTTTCCAAGGAGCAGCTGGTGAGCTTCAACTGCTGACCTTGCAGTTCAAAGGACGTTGCAGTCGGGCGCATTAACCCACAGCGCCACACCAAAGCCTTGCTTAACCCCAGGAAGACATACGTGTTCTAATAGGACATTTTTCCTATCTGTGGTAGTGCTGTTTAGGGGGGAAACAAAATCAATTGAGAGTCAGGTGCCTTATTTTTCAAAATGAAGGATATTTTCAGTAAAATTTAGATAATCTTTATCTTTTCTTTCAAAAATAGATTTTTCACATGATTTATAATTCCCATAAGGATAAATATTTTCTCAACAAACATCATGGGATTCTTGCATATTCAGAGAGATATTTCCCATTGTGTTCTGTGAATGGAATTAATAGATATGCGTAGACTGTTAGCTCTGTGAAGACAGGGATTTTATTTTGTTCATCGTTCTATTTCTAGCACTAAGAATAGAGCTGGAGACACAAGTTATTGCTGTGTACTGCCCGGTTCATTGTGACTCATACGACCCTATTGGACAGAGTAGAACTGTCTAGAGAAAATGAGGTAATGTGCTTCCATGAAGATTTACCCCTTGGAACCCTATACAGCTCTACTCTGTCCAATAGGCTTGCTATGAATTGCAATCAGTTTGATGTCAGTAGGTTTTGGTTTTCGTTTTAGCGCAGGAGATCTCCCAAGTTTTTTTTTCCTTTTTTTTCTTGAAGTTTCTGGTGGGTTTAAACTGCTGACCTTTGGTTGGCAACTGAGTGCTTAACCATTGTACCACCAGGGCTCCGTTGAGACACAGTTTCCAATAAACAATTGTGTTGTGACTGAAAGAAATAGATCAATTCTGCATGCATTGTATTACTTAAATAATACCACAAGGTGGTAGTATTGTACCATGAAATGAGAGTCTGCAGTTCCCAGGCTTGCTTAGGTGGTAAGCCATAAATCTAGGGAATGAATCAAATGAATTCATATGTTTATTGATTTTTATAAACATATTTAATGAGATAACATTTGTAAAAATTTAGCACAATACTAGGTTAATTGTTATTTTTAAATTTTTAAAGTAAATTATTTTTAAATTAAATTTGTATTGGAAGTCTTTATTAAATTTCTTTTTATACTGAAATAGTTTGTTAGATTTTTACTAGTAAATTATCACTGAAGGTTAAATAATATTATAAATCTCTTTTGGCTATCAAAAGGTTTAAAAAATTAATAGCAATCCTAAGTTTTACTGTATTTTTCTACCATACTTATAAAAAATAGTTGCTTTTTGATTTGTTTCGTTTTCTTATATATTTTATATGGTGTTACAGTATCTTATTAGTATATAATTCTTTATTAGCTATTTGCACTTATAGTATAATCTTAGTGTGTAAATGTTGTTGTAAATTGGTTCCAACCCATAGTGACCCTGTATAGGGTTTCCGAGTAGCATCTGGTGAGTTTGAACTGCCGACCTTGTGGTTCAAACTGATTTTGTAGTACTTGTGGTTCAAACTGATTATTTTGCAGTAACCCACAGTGCCACACCAAGACTGTGTGTAAATAGTTTATAATTTGTCTTGATTTCAACGTATTGTAAAACCAGGTATTGAAAAGTTTGTGTTTTTTTATAGCTTGAACTACTTTCATTTTCTGTTGTTGTTTTTTTTTTAATGACTGATTAATTCAGTTCTGTAATTTCCCTCAGACTGAAGTAAAATCAGAAGATGGTCCAGGATGGAATATCCTACGCGATGATTTCATGATGGGAGCATCTATGAAAGACTGGGACAAAGAAAGTGACGGATCAGATAACAATCAACCAGGATCTGAAAGTGAATCTGACATATGAAGTTGTGCAGGAAAA